TCTCTACAAATAGATTCAGTTTGTTCATTGAGAAAAGTTTAGACACTAAACATTTTAAATCTGGCTTTCACTAGTAAATCTGTATGCATAATAATTTTTAGAGTCGGACCGTGGACTTAGTACACTTCCAGACGTTTCGCCAGCATCGTCAGTGAGCCTTGCCATTCTCAGCACAACCGTTTCGACAGATAGTTAGTCAAGGGATTGTCTTCACTTGTCTCTTTGCCGAGTTATAGTTTTGTGCTAAGAATGACAAGATTAGCTAAAGATGCCGGCGAAGCGTCTGGGAATGTACCAAGTACACGGTTCGTCTCTGGAAAGAAAGTAGTATGCATATTATGGACTCCAGACAATGCGCGTTCCTCCTGGTCTTCCTGCCAATATGACCAAGTTGTGAAAACAAGATCAAACAACTTCTACACAAAAATATGATCAACATATTCAGAATGCAAAAACTTGAAAATACAATCAGGTACTTTTTAGGGTAGGAAAAATGGGCTAAAATAATAGCTGTACTTATCCTAGGTCGAATAGTGTGATGAAGAACTGATAAATTAAATTTCTCAGAATGATATGAGTAAACCTCCGGGTGCCAAAAAAATTCACACAGTCTTGCTTCTCGGAAGACTGGGCTAGACTGTACTGAACCAAAATGAAGCTTCGACCTGGCTTGTGCCTCATCAGCACCCCTAAATGAAATATAAACCGAGCTGTAGTAGTTTAGAGTAAAATGTCGACATACCCACACCATGCAAAACTGCCACGGGTGAGAGTAAGCTATAGGTCAGATGTGAATTTCAAGGATAATCAGGCCTCTTCACGCACCAAGTTTTGTAGTGCGAGTGCCAATGAAGTAAATTGGTATTTTTTATTGCAATCGACTACATTACTTAATTCCACATTTATTAGATGTATTCACCCAATTTCGTTTAAGGTAATGAAGGACTGGTAGAAAAAGAATTTTCCCACAATGATATGAGTAGAGCTGACGTTTCTATTGAATTTCACATAGTCTTGCTTTCCTAAAAGTTGTTCTCATCCGAGCACTAGTGGACTGTAGTTTCGACCTCGCATCGGTCTTATCAACACCATCAGCGGAAGTCGAACCGCCACAGTGCAGAATACTAGCTTGACATGATAACCACTCGGCTACACTGTTGATGAAGCAAACGTATATCTGCTATAACAATCGACTACTATACTTTATTTTTTAAATTGAGTATTGTTTTCGTGACTACCAGTAAATCAGTAAAATGAGATGTATTCACCAAATTATACTACCAGTCCTTCATCACTTTAAACCAAATAGGGTGAATACATCTCATATTACTGATTTACTGGTAGTCATGAAAACAATACTCAATTCGAAAAATAAAGAATAGTAGTCGATTGTAATAGCAGATATACGTTTGCTCCATCGACAATTCCACCAAAAGAATATGATATGGCAAAAATGCCTGGCCTTCCTTTAAAATTCACATTTGCCCTGTGACCCAAAAGGCGCTCGTGGCAGTTTAGCCGAGTGGTTAGCGTTTCAGGCTGTCATTCTGCATTTTCGCGGTTCGACTCCCGCTGAGGGTGTTGATAATACCTGAACGAGGTCGAAACTGTAGTTCACTGATGCTCGGATGAGAACAACTTTTGGGAAACCAAGGTTATGTGAAATTGAATGGAAACATCAGCTCAACTCATATCATTGTGGGAAAATTCATCTTCTACCAGTCCTTCATCACCTCAAACGAAATTGGGTGAATACATCTCATACTACTGATTTACTGGTAGCCACGAAAACAATACTTAATTCGAAAGCATATTACTGATTTACTGGTAGTCATGAAAATAAAACTTAATTCGAAAGATTTATTGGGTTTCGATACCACAAGCAAGCCTCCAAGAGCTGCATTGACCCGAGGCAGCAAAAAAGGATAGTTTAGAAATCTGCTCAATCGGAATATAAGAAGTGTAGTCAATTCTAATAGTAAATGGCTCTGCCGATAATCCCACTGCAAAATATGAGATGCCTTGAAATTCGTCTCGATTATAACCGTATGTACATGTGAGTATTCGGTGCAACAACGATAGCAAACACGGCATGGATCTCAATTTTAACAAATATCAACTCTCGGCAGAGAGTAGACGTCTAGAATATAAGGCGAAACAGCACTGAAGAGCGGGAACGCGTAGGACGGAACCGATTGTAGAATGTTTAGAGTAAAAGAGCAAAGGATGCAGGCCAATTGCAGCCTAAAAGTGAAGCGCTCTGAAAGGTTTATCAAATCGTGCAACAGTGTTGAATGGACTCGAGGAAACAGCTCGTTACTCTATCCAAGATACAGCTATGCTTTTAGACACGATGTTCAACAAAACAGGTATATACACGACTGGATTTCAAGAAATATGTTGGAGAGCAAGTTCTTCCAACAATTCCAGAAAAGGGCTCGTCTGGAATGCAATTTATTTGCCGCCCAATAGAGGCACTATTGCTGACATTGCGAAAGAATGGGAAATAGTTGGTACACGAAAGAAGCTGGGTCTTGCGGTTAGACAAATTCGTCCGTCAATGTCTTAACTGAAAAGATTAAATGAAAGAATGATGAAAGAATATAAGATAACTAACTACCGGTTGAGCATGGTATCCAAGCAGCATCTCCAAAGTGCGTCTATCCTGCTCCTCTTGCTCGCCCTTAGATACAGTTGTCCTGATTGTCATGGAAGCCGGCCTGAATAACAGGCGGCTACTTGCAGGTTCCTCCATACTGGCCCGAATCCCGGCCCGTCCAGCTCGGCTTTGAATAGCGAAAAGTGAAGCCTCGGTATCTTGGCCAGTAGGGACCAATGCATTTTCAGGCTGACTTCGAATCACCGAGCCCATGTAATTTTCCTTATGGCTCTCCTCCACCAACACCGTCCTCTCTTCGTGGTCCTCCTTCGTCAAATCCGTCCTAGCCGGTAAATCATCATCATTTTTGAAAAAGACCTCAGTCTCTTCAAGTAACAGGCCCATTTGGTCGACAGAAGGCTCCTCAGACGTCACCGGTTCATCGGCGACAGAGGAAGAAGAGGTCTCGGAAACTGCGCCTGATGAAAGAAGTGTGAGAGAACGCCTTCGATGGAGTTTGGAAGCTTGTTGTAGCAGGTATCGCGGTGCGAGAAATAATGAAGTCAAAGGAAGCCGACGACGAAGGGTCAGCTTCTTCTTAATTACCTAAAAGCATAAAAGAGAGAGGATACTCATAAAAATATATTAATGTGTGCGAGAAGTCAGATGAAATTACTTGCAAATAGTAGGGGAAAAGAGTAGTAAAGTGTTCTACGAAAGAGAGGAAAAGAAAAGAAAAGAATCATTTAATATGAGTAAGTCCAGCAGAAATTTAACTCGGCAATTATGTATAACAGGAGCTATATGAGGTATAGCGAAATAGGAACATAAAAGAGTAGCTGTGAAATTTAGAAAGAACACTGCAACTCGTCATTAACGAAAGCCAACAAGACGTCGACTTTAGTACTGGTGAAGTTTACTTTTGGATAGGGATTTTTGTTGGGAAAAAGTGGTGCCTTTTGTTGACAGGAAATTCCTACATTCAGCCAATATTGAAGAAATGGAATATTCGGGTGGCCATGAAAGAAACATCAACACTTTTCACAAGCCTACCAGCGCAACATGAAATAGTAGATAAATGCGAACAGAAGTATTTTGGCGAAACGTAGAAAAATTAGCACACGAATCAAGGAACATCAGAGGCTCTGAAGGAAAATGGATACCGAAAGATCAGAACTAGCGGAACACATCGCACAGACTGGACACGAGATCAATTGGA